TATCAACACTGTGTCATCTGCATATTTTATGTTGTTAAGATTATGGCCACCAATAACGAATTCAGGTAATGCTTCTAATTCTCTCAAAATAGCCTCACTGTATAGGTTGAATAAGTCTGGCGAGAAGACACATCCTTGTTTTACACACATTTCTTTTTTTGTATATTTACTGAATCCGTTTTCTATCTGTATGCAGGCAATTTGCTGCCGGTATAGTTTCTGGATTATTCTAATATCGTTCCCAAATATATCAAGAATATTTCCAACAGTTCATTGTGACGTACTATAGAACAGTGATCTTTCTTATATCATTCTCAGCATAAATATTGCATTCCTTGTTCCAGTATCTTTACCGAACCCGCACTGTTCTTGTCCTATTTCCGGTTTAATTTTACAGTGCGCTCTATTCATCAGAATTTGGATGATAAGTTTTGTTGTGTGGTTTGTGTGTAGGTAGATTGTTCGATGGAGTTTACATGTTTTTGCACCTGTTTTTTTAGACAGCGCTATGAAAACGGATCAACTTAGGTCTTCCGGTATATCACCACTGTTGTATAATTGTTTAAATAAACACATGAGATGTTGTGCTATAGATAATAACTGAGGCGTGCTGCACATTAATCTTCGGGGTGAGGTCAGTGCGTTCAAACAGATGCAGATTCTTCTGCATTTTCAAGTATCTTAGAGTCATTGGCGTTTTGCTCCCTTATATTTGCTTACAGTTTTATAGAAAAGTTCATCAAAAATAAGATTTGAGAACCATTCAAAGTAGATGGTTACTGTTAAAAATTTTATAATGAATGAGGTGTGTAATATGAATATAAGCTGAAGTGAAGATTGTAAGGATACTAAGGAGAGATCTTGGCTTAGTTAAGATTGTAGCGTTCAGAGAAGCATCCAAGCAGAAATCTGTTCCACAAAGCAGCAGTTATTAGAAAAAAAGTTATCTGTATGGAATTTTCCTCGTTCTTTGGAACACGGCGGAGATGAGGATGATCCAACTCCGTGGAAGCGGCGTGTCCTAGGAGTAAAGGTCTGAAGTGATGGAACTAAAGAATGGATCTCATCTAAAAATCTGCGATAGAAATGGCGATAAAATAGTCATAGTCTAGCTAGGTTTTGTCTGTAGGAAAGAGGATGCAAAGTGGAGAATAGGTCTTTCCTCACAAGACCAAGTAAACGATTTGGTTTCAGATAGTATTCAAGAAAAGCTACCGAATTCCAGATAATCAATACATACCGCGATCTTAAGCTACAAATACAAAACACAAATCTGAAGCGAGAGACCATCTATGAACAAAGAAATCAAAAAAATATACCAACTATTAGTTTTAATCAAATTAGAAATAGCGAACAACCAGAAAAAAGACAGGCTAAAATACTAAACGACGAAGACAGAAAGAGCAGAGCATTAAGACCAAAAGACAGGCCAGCACATAAAACCAGAAGAAAGAGACACCATGGCACTAAGACGTGAAGAAAGACAGACCGGGACATTAAGACCCGAAAGAAAAAAATGGTAAGAATGCTGAAAGCCGAAAAAGGAGAGGCCAGCACACTATGACCAGAAGAAAAAGAGTCCAGGATACTTAAAGCTGATTGAAAAAAAAAGCCAAGAGCATTCAAAGCAGAAGAAAGAGAGGCAAGGACACTAAGACCAGAAGAATGAATGGCTAAGGCACTAAAACCAAAACAAACAGGGGTTAGAACACTAAGATCAGAAGAAAAAGCGGCCTATGGTAAAACCAGAAGAAAACGTTATCAGGCTAGCCAAACCAGAATTAAAAAATTGGCCAGTGTTCACGGACGAAAGAGAATTATGCGCATTGAAAAAAAAAGAAAAGCATGAATCTTGCTAAAATTCAACCATTTTAAGTTGATTGGTTTCTATTGTCTAATATATTCACATTCAATGTTATCTTCCAAAATTAACAAAATCCTAATCATAATCGTTTTTCAATTCTATAAATTTCCATGCATGTTGAAATCTTATGTCAAAACGGGATTTCACTAAAATGTAAAAGTTAATTTGGGGTTTATCTTTATTAAAAGCCCCTTTTTACTCAATACTAAACTAGAATATAAACAAAATGTATTAAGATTGTAAAATCATATTTAAATATTCAAATAAGATTTAATATTTCTGGGATGATGAGTTATCTAGTTATAAGCATCTGATGATGGTCGGATTGCGCAACAAAGATGAGGACAATAGTCCGCATGTAACTAGTGTAAATATAATTATGAAGTCACGCTGAAAACATATTTGTGTCTCTTTAGCATGACAGTTTTTTTTTCATTAACAGCAGGAATTGGAAATGTCTCGGTGTTGGTTCACTGCTAATGAGTTCATTTGGTTGACCATTACTACTGGGTAGTAATTTTGATCTTCATTCGATACTCTATAGCTTCTAGCCTTATGTCAAACTAAGTTAAGCTTAGTCAATAACAGTTTTTTTAGAATATCCGACATAATTTTTAGTACTAAAAAAAATATATCAGCGAAACGCTTTCTTGAAATTGTAATAAAATCATCTTCTTTCAAACTCAAATATATATATATATATATATATATATATATAGATAGATAGATAGATATATAGATATATATTATAATTATTTTTAAAAATACACACACACACACACACACATATATATATATATATATATATATATATATATATATATATATATATAATGGACTCTCCCGTCGGTTTCGACGTATGAGGATCTGACAGCTTATTGATTCAGTTATGAAAGTTTGTGCGATAATCTTAAGTGGCATTTAAGACCCGCTAGTGATTTACAAAGGAGTACACATATGGAGCAAGTGTGAGGATTGTGAGTTGAGGTCACTGTTAGATTGGCTGACCTTTTAGATCTCTCCCTTGCTTCTTGAAGATGATTCAGACAAGCAGATTGAAAATTGCTGAGTCCACTAAAACACGTTGGTCTCCATTCTACCCGCTCCAAAGCTAAGCGCTCAAGGGTGTTATGTGGTATATTGACTGCTGACAAATTGCTTTTCAGCTTGTCTTTGTATCTTAGCCATGGGCGTCCTACATTCCTGTAGCCCTGATCTAACTGGCTGTACATTAGGATCTTGGGTATCCTGTCATCAGACATTCTCAAGACATGACCAGTCCACCGTAACTGAGACTGTATGGTAAAAGTCTCGATTCCTCCGATATTACACCTGTTAAACAGGTCTACGTTAGATGAAGCTTGAAGCTTAACTCCACAGATTGCACGCAGACAGCTTTTATGGAAAACATCTAGCTGGCGTATATGGTACCTGTATGGAGTCCACAACTCTGAGCCATACAAAAGGATGGTAAGTACAACAGCTCTGTAAACCTGAATTTTCGTATCCAGTCGAATACCCCGCTCATTCCACAAGCGATGGCGAAGTTTGCCGAAAGCACTGGTAGCCTTAGCAATCCGATGCATGATTTCATCATCTAAAGTTCTACTCTAATTGACTTTGCTACCAAGATAGGTGAAAGACTTTACATCGTTAAGGGGTTTGTCTTCTACTTTCAATGGTCTCTCTGGAAATTTGTAGATTGGTGGTTTTTGTTCCTCACCACGCAATTGCTTCGAAGTAGGACAAGGTTGGTGCACAACTTCAGCTTTCTTTATGCTAAGTGTAAGACCAAATGCTTTACATGCAGCAGAGAAACGATTTATTAGATGTTGGGCCTCCTCAAAGGATGTCGCTACGAGAGCAGCATCATCAGCAAACAACAAATCACGAATAATTTGCGTACGAAGGTGGGTCTTGGCTTTCAAGCGCTGATGATTGAAGAGACCATCAGTTGTTCGAAACTGAAACTTGACGCCACCCTCTGTGTTCGCAAATGCATATTTCAGCATCACCGAGAAGAAAAGAGCAAAAAGGACAGCGGACATGACACAACCTTGCTTGGTGCCATCTGTGACATTAAAGGATTCCGACATCATACCATCAGACACGATATTAGCTTTCATTCCTTCATAAAAAGAGATGATGATCTTTAGCATGTTTTCAGGGATGCCGAGTTTCCTCAAGACTTGCCAAAGAGCCTCTCGATCCACAGGCCAAAGGCCTTCGTCAAGTCCATAAACACCATGTATAACTCTTGGTTTTTCTCGCGAACTTTCTCTGCAACTTGACGAAGACAAAATATCATGTCAATGGTGCCCCGACCCGACCGAAAACCACACTGCGATTCAGGATAGATGTCGTCAACAAGGTGTATAATGATTCTGTTTAGAATCAGTCTCGGTATATATATATATATATATATATATATATATATATATATATATATATAAACGGTATATATATATATATATATATATATATATATATATATATATAAACTTGTTCGCCCACCCAACAAGGCAGTAAAGCCACTGAGACGCAAATGTGGAAGAGTTCGAAACAGGAATATTACTAAAGAGCGAGAACAGAATAAGTGTAATCAGAAGGACAGTAGATAGCGATTGACATTGCCTTTAAATTTTTGCAGATTAAAGTTGGCTGGGAAGCATGAAGCCGGGGGGGGAGTTTCATAAGCGAGAAGTGCGAGAAAAGAAACTGTTAGCATAGAATTCACGATTACATCTAGCCAGCCCAACTGTAAATAGGTGAGAACTCGTCTCCAGTCTAGTACTGCACTTAAATTATAAGAGTCTAGGTACCACAGCGAAGAGCTTGTCCAAACAATTACCATGAAAGTATTTATAGAAAAGGCAAAAGACAGCAACTTTACGGTGGTGGGAAAGTGACTGAAGCCGAGACACCAGGTCAGGACCAATAATATTGCTAATTCTTTGGATTTTATCAAGGATTTCTAGATAAATAGCAGGAGAACCGGACCATATCTGACAGCAATATTCTAGGCATAGACGAATGGTAGTCTTATAGATATGTAATAGAGACTGGAGAGAAAAATAGTCCTGAACGACACATAATAGAATATCAATTGCATCACATAATCCGAGTGTTAGAAGGCTTACGACCATATAACATTGAAACAACAGTTCTCGTTTGATCACCGAAGTTAAGCAACGTCGAGAACTTGGTCAGTACCTAGACGGATGACCGCTTTGGAATACCCAGTGCTGTGAGCTTGGATATGCGGGTGGTATACTTACTTGTAATTGTTGTGGCATTCAATGCATTTTCCGCATCCCGAACGAAAGCCGACCAAGCGTAGCAGACGTCGTATTGATTTGGACGTGCAAATCCGTAGTCAGAGTTTCAGTGAGAATTTGTATACACACGCTTCAGGATAGTGCGTTCCGAGCGTTTCCAGACGGAGCCCAACTCAGGCCGGTTTGAGTTTCCTTCTCCTAGACTGCTTGCTACCCAAGGCTACAACACTCAGTCTGTCCTGCTATTTTCCCATAGCTGGGGGGATGGATCCATACCTTTCCCAAGTGTATTACCACACGTAAGTGAATGTAATGAATTTGACTGAACTTCGAACTCTGCTCTCCAATTCCTCAATCCGAGCCACTAGCCATTACTCCACCGTGCCTCCACTATTCAACCGTGCCGCCGCCATACGTATGGTGTAATGAATAATGGCTCGAAATTGTTAATCAGAGTTCCAAATCCTCTACGTTCCGTTATATTTCCTAACTTTCAAATACCCTGGAAAAGGTATGAATCCACCCTTCGTTCCCCACTCCCAAGCTATGTGCTAATTAGTAAGAATTGTATCACTAAAACCACTGTTATCTTTTTAAAAAAAGAAGACTAAATAAATAAAATTGTGTACAAAATATTCAGATTTCCATAGCCGCTGAACAAAAACAACGAACCAACCAATGGAGTGGTGGACATAAAAATCGTGACCAAAACATAAAAAGAAAAGAAAAAATACAATTTGGTGTCTTTTTTTTTTTTTTTTCGTTCTATTGTTAATTTTATTGTTAATCATTTTGGCTTATTAAATTGCTTTAAATGTCCAAGGTTTCTTTTTTTTTTTTTCAGTTTGCCTTTATTCGTGGGGTGGGGAGATAAATCTGTAAAGTAGAATAATTTGGTGATCTTGTATAGTTGACTTTTCAAGGGAAATTACTCTTCAAATAAAAACAAGGGAAATTACTTTTGTTCCCGACCAATTGATTGGCAAGTGTTAACGAACTTGAATTTTATTTTTTATCTATACATGGCAACGTTTCTACCATTGTTTCCCACTTACAGAGATATTAATAATGTCATAATTTACTTTAGTTATAGCTTATAACTTAATTTCCCTTTTACATTAACGTTCTTTAATTCTTTCCTAAAAAAATTACATCGGACAAAATTTGTTATGTTGGTACGACTAAACATGCGCACGGACGAAGGTGCTTGGAATTTTAGAATGTTTGTTTATATATCCACCTGATTTTATTGAGTGCTTTTTTTTCTTTTTCTTTCTATCACTTTTGTCAGTAGGTATCTCATACTGTGATAATAGAAGTTCTATCAGGATTGGTGAAATGTTGTAAGAGCCAGGGTGCAAATTTACTGTAGATCACCTTTCGATTAAGGCACTCACATTACAGGATTAATACAAATAAAATTTGTCACGTAGCTGATTGATATATATATATATATATATATATATATATATATATATATATATATAAATAAATGAGAAAGAATCAAATATAAATTCAAACGTTCTCAACATTAATTTAAAAATAGTGCTCAATACATTAGTAGAGCAATGATGAGATGCGATGATATGCATCAAAACATGAATGCATTTATGTAGCGGTTTTTACATATGCTGGAATGTAATATCCTATAATAAAGTATATATATATATATATATATATATATATATATAGAGAGAGAGAGAGAGAGAGAGAGAGAGAGAGAGAGAATAAAAAAACTACCTGAAAGAAAGAATTATAGAAGAAAGTAAAGAAAGATAAATCTATTAGAAAGAAAGAAAGAAAGAAAGAAAAGAAAGAAAGACAGAAAGAAAATAATAATAATAATAATAATAATAATAATAATAATCAAAAATTATAACTATGTAAGGCAAGCTCGAACAAAATCCCCAAAATGGAAATGTCAATATACTCAACTTTTGTTTCTATCATTTGTCATCAATCCATAAAACTCTTGCGCAAACTTTATCAATAGTAATTAATAACCCATATGAAATTCCAGAATGGATAACCGTAGATATTACACATCTCCTACCAAAAACGGGTGAAACAGATGAGATGAGAGATCAAGCTACCAAACTCTGGTCATTGAGATTTCGGAGATGACCATTTTTCTATAAGTGCGATTCCATATGAAAACTTGAAATTTCTCACAATATTTCTCATTGAAATTTTCATTTTCCAAAATTATGGATTATAATTATTGTTTAGATATATGGGAAAAAATGTGAGTTTAAACTTATAAGTCTTCAAGTCAATTTTCGAATACAAAAGTGTAGGTACCTGCAAAAGTTTTCTAAACACAATGCATACCATGATAAAAAAGGCCCCAAATTTGATAAAAAACAAAGTTTTATCGTCAAAATATTTATGCTAATATTAAGAAGAAAGACCAAAGTATTTTTCTAATTATTTTATTAAATATTTTAATCTTTTTTATTAGTAGTATTTTATTCTTTTATTATTAGTATTAGGGATTTTTAGCGTCTTTTTGGGCGCTAAAGATATTGATTTGGAAATTCTTACAAATATCAAATAATTGTAGAAGTTTAATTAAATTTTCGGGACTTATTCATAAATGAATTAAATTGTTTTTGATTATTTTTTTTTTAGAAAATCTCAGTAAAAATATATTTTTTTACTTACTTAATTTTAGGAAATTTCGAAAACGTAAAATTCCACTTTCTTCATATTTATATTAGTTAAAAACAGGACTCCTTGGATAATTTTAAATCATCATTTGTTTTTGCCAAACAGAAACACCATTGACCGAAAATCTACTCTGAATCGTAAAAAATGCAATAAAACTATGTCCTTATTTCATTAGAAAAACTTTTAATTGCCTTTTTATAAATAAGGTATATAAAGGATACTATTTTCTTAAGAAAAAAAATTTCGATGAATAAGGAATTTTTACAAGAAGTGTTTTTATTTTTTTCAATTTTAATTATTTTTAAATCTTTTAAAATTTTGTATACACGACATTATTAGAAAAAATGAGAAATAACTATAGTAAATTTAAAGTCTAAAATTCAATAAAACATTAGATTACAGAGAATATTTTCCTTTTTTTTATTATTGAGTTCTTAAAAATTATATATAAAAGGCGCTCACGTCAGTTTCTTACATTATATTTTACAGATAAGTCTCCGTAGAACAACATTAGACCTGTCATCAGACTGTCAAGATAGCTATTGTCGTGTTAAAAAAAGCATTTCTACGATATTTTAAAGTTAAAGTAAATAATATTTGTTTCAAATCAGATTAATTATACTTTAAATCAGCTAATATCCTTCAAATGATATTTCAGAAAAGTATGTTTTATTTTTGGAAGAATTTTTAATAAAGCTAGTTATATTTCGATGAAAGATGACTGATAAAAAGAGCGCTAAGCAGCTATTTTCGAAAAACAAACTTCCAGTCAATTTAAATTAGTTTTTGAAATACATCAAAGTATTGTGCTTATTGGAAATATTAAATTTAATCTGTTAGCTTGAAATTCAAGCTAAAATAAAAGCTTCAAGAAAGATTTTTCAATTTTAAAAATTCATTTTTTAAACCTCAGACATCGTGTTTTTATTTTCTTTGGCTGTTAGAAGTGTAAGGGAGATAATTTACTGTTTGCTATGCGGAAATTGTAAAAATAACGATACCACATTTCCTGTGAATTTACACTAACCTCATATTCTGAGTGATTGTTTGAATTTGAAAAGTCATACGTCTGAAATTAAACAAAAATACCGTCTAAAACGAAATATACTTTGTTTCAAATGTCTTTACTTTGGGGAAAAATTTCCGTAAATAAAAGTGCACGGACATATTTCAATAAACAGCGAAACATGTATGAGTGTAGTGGATGTGTTAATCATATGGGTAATAATTGTTGAGAAATAGGTTGCGTGATAAATTAACAATTTCCACTAACATCAAAATTTCAATATTCACACATAGAATCAGAACAACATGAGAAATAATAATAAATCTCTTTTTTTTTAATAACAAACAATAGAATTTTATATATAGTAAGTCATGCAAAGAACAAAGCAAGGCATACAAAGTATGATTGAGGTTTGTAAACTTAAGTAATATTAAACAGTTTGTGTAGTAATATTTTTTTGATGTGAATTTTAATTTTGTTTAAGAAGTTGTCCCTCTTTGACCGTAATATTTTTTTGTTAGAGAATCAACTGAAATGTTTGCTGGATGAATATAAGTTTTATGGTTGAGAACTTCCACTGTTTATGGTGATTGAATCTAGTGATTGATGAGTGAGTGCATTGGAGTTGTTTCGTGTTAATAAATTTTAACTTTGCAACTTCAAAAGTATAAGTGACGCGGAGTAGTTTAGCGATTGGTTATCCGTCACGAAGCTCACTGGTAAATTTGTGTTCGTGCATTGTATTTATTTGCATTCTTAGTCACATGTGAGGCTCGCGAACATGTTTCAAGATTTTGGCGGTATTTTGTGTTTAAACACGTGTGTGTAGGCGTTGTTACGACTTTGAGATATATTGACCAATCAGAAACAATTATTGTAAAACTTGCGTCTGGAGCCTGGATTGTGTTTAGCTGGCACAAAAATCTACAACTAACACATGAAAATGTAAATTAGAAATGTTTTAATATTCATTTTCCAATGAGGACGTAGTGAACTCAGTCATTGGTTCTGATCCACTAGCATGTAGAGGTTAAGCTCTACACGAGTTTGTAGTAAGTTCAGCAGTCCAGGTTTTGATATATTAAAAATCCGAACGTCCAAATTCCAAATAATAAAAATATAAAAATAAATAAAACATACGGATTCAAAGGGGGGAAAATAGTTTTTCATTCAATTTAAAATCATTGGGTAGTTGATTCACGGAAAAACTGTAATTTAGTAAAGACTTTTAAATTAGATGGTCCACAGTCAATGTTGTGTTTGAAATAAAGGTTTTATCATTAGCGAAAATTCACTGATCGTCTTCTAGATTTGTTTGTTGCAATGAAGTTACAGACTGGCCGTCCACACTGTTGTTGGAGATGATCTGTTTGAAGTCATTGACGTATATTTCTTTCAAAACGTGCGGAGAAAAAGCTACGTATAGCCACCTCTTCTCTTGTATTTGAACGGCATGGAGACAGTCGAATATCTGCTCCTTGAAAGTTTAAATTTGTGGGGTTAATAAGAATTTTTTTTCTCGAAAATAGGCTTGAAAAAATAGGTTTTTAGTTTTATCTGATTTGGTCAAATATTTTGTAGACTCGTCCTTTTTTCCTTACCTTTCAACCCTAGCAACAGAACAGTCTATATCTTACGCCTACGTACGGAAAACTTCAACCAATTAAAACTGCACTAAGCGAAACAAACAATCTCATTGGTTCATCACTGAAAGTTCACGTGCAGAACGAAATTGCACCAAAACTCAAGTGAGCCACCTTCGGACTTTCAGACCTTATAAAAATAAACGCTGACCGCCCCAGGCAGTCAGTAACAAACACCCACGGAGAACTTGCCAAAATACTCGCTGACTCATTCCCGATCGAAAACTTAATCAACTCTGTGGATATCAATTCTCAACATTGCTTATCTAAAGTGAATTATATTCGCTACCTTTTAAGTAAACATCAACGTACGAACGACCTTAAAAACATTACATTACAGTTAAAGGTAGATCACTCTTAAAAAACTCCTTCTAAAAGAGACACTTAATATCGACAATTATTAATATCAACACAAACTTAAAAAGACTGTAAATGAACGAACAATTCCAAAGAGAGACATTCTGAAATCAAAAAAACCTCATACACATTTCGCCAACATAACATATATCAATTATCCTGTTTGTATATTGTTTGAATTGTATATAAATGTTATATTAATTTCTAATTGAATGTCTCGTTCTTAATCGTATTTTAAATTTCGTTTATTTATTTGTTGTGGATGCAGAAAGTCACAAGACCTACACAAATTCCTTCTGATTCTTTCAAGCATAATTAATAAATTCTGCACTTCCCCAACAAAATTGATGACCCCGACGTTCGATGTTCAGCGTTACCAATAAAATTGGCGACCTCGACGTTCTAACAAAAAATTGATAACCTCGACGTGCGACCAACAAATTTGACTCCCCCGACGTTCATGTAAAAAAAGTAAAAAAGAAAAACTGGTGACCAACAAAATTGGTAACCACCGACGTGCGAAACCCGAACAAAAAAATTGGCGATTCAGACGTGTGAATCGTTGAAGAAATCAAAATTGGAATCCCGACGTACAAAAAAAACAGAATTAGTGACGACTCCAACGCGCGGGAAGAAATTAAATCGACACGTGTTGTTTTCGAACCAGCAGACCAAAGATCCAGAAACAAAACTCTGACTTCATAAATGGCTGATCCAGTTCCTCTCACAGAAACGGCAATCAGACTCGAAATGCCTGTTTTCAACTCAAACGTTCAGACGTGGTTCTTACCACTGGACGCAATATTCCAGGCCAGACACATAACTCCGCAGCAATCAAAATTTGCGTCCGTGGTAGAGAAACTACCCGCGGAGGTAGCGGCTGAAGTAGCCGACATATTAACCTCTCTACCAATAGACAAGCCATACGAGACCCTTAAATAAGCAATACTACACCGATCTTGTTTTTCGGAGGAAAGAAAAATAAGAGACCTCTTAACAAACGTTACAATTGGAGATTCGAAACCGTCTCAATTATTACGACGCATGCAACAACTATTGGGCGACAACAACGTATCAGCCACAGTATTCCGCCAAATGTGGCTGGACAAATTACCATCAGACATGGTACGAATCTTGGCTGCATTAACAGACGACGTTGATATACAAAAATTGGCAACGATAGCGGACAAAATAGCCGATACTACCCCGGTACGGCAGATTTCCTCAACGGAGACCGTGGATGGCCTTGTGCCAGATGTCAACCAACAGATTCAAAAATTGTCTTCAGAATTGCAAGAAATATCTCTACAACTGCGTGATTTACAAAAACCACATGAAAGTCGGCGTGATAATTTTACGCGACACAGTAACCGTGGTTCAAGATCGACGTCTCGGCATAAATACCAACAACGCCGTGATCGTTACCAACATGCCAATTGCTGGTACCACGAAAATTTTGGCGCGCGCGCGAAGAAATGCCGACCACAGTGTTCGTATAAAAAGTCATTTCCAAACAAACAAGCGGGAAACGAACTCGCTGGCACCCAGTAGAGACGTTGGATGCCAGACATTTAAAAACTAATCGTCTCTTTACATCCACGACAGAGCGAGCGGTTTAAAATTTTTAGTTGACACCGGTGCCCAAATAAGTGTCCTGACTCTCAAAAATTGCAGCAAACAGACTCTGGTTAAGCATAAATCTTTCAAATTACAGGCCGCTAATGGCACTCCGATCACCACGTACGGCGAGCGAACCCTAACGCTAGACATCGGCCTTAGACGAGAATTTACGTGGATTTTTACTATCGCGGATGTTGCAATGCCGATATTAGGAGCGGACTTCCTAACCCATTACAAATTATCGGTTGAGTTGGCGTCACAAACCTTAACTGACACTAGCACTAATCTACAACGTTGCGGTTTCATTTCCAAGTATTCGACAATCGGTCTGACGACTGTTATACCTACAGCCAATGGCTACGATGAGATAATACGTCAGTACCAATCGCTACTGTCACCGTCAACACAAAATGAACCTGTGAAACACCACGCCACTCATAGTATTAAGACCACAGTTCATTCTCAACCTCGCAGACTCCATCCGAGTAAACTAAAAATAGCTCGTGACGAATTTGACAACATGCTCAAACTTGGTGTAATCCGTCCTTCAGCCAGTCCTTATGCCAGCCCCCTACATATGGTTGTTAAAAGCTGACTCAGCTAGTTGGCGTCCGTGCGGCGACTACAGGTTACTAAACGCGCAGACCGTCCCGGACAAATACCCAATCCCACATATTAAAGATTTCGCCCTTTCGTTGGAAGGTGCTAAAGTATTCACCAAGCTCGATCTTAAAAAGGCATATTACCAGATCCCCATTGAGGAAGTCGACATCCCGAAAACTGCTATTACAACGCCTTTCGGACTCTTCGAATTTACGAGAATGCCCTTTGGATTGCGTAACGCGGCGCAGTCTTTCCAGAGGCTAATAGACGAAGTCCTACGCGGAATGCCTTACACATATGCTTATATGGTTGACGTACTCATAGCAAGCAAATCTCATGCAGAACACCATGAAAATCTGCACACAGTTCTCAAAAGATTACAACACTACAGGTTAAGTGTGTTTTCGCAGTACCGAGTTTGACTTTCCTCGGGCATATTTTAGACCAGCATGGATTGTCTCCCTTGGATCAGAAAATTACAGCGATCGCTAATTACCCTCTACCTTCCACATTGAAGCAATTGAGGAGATTTTGGGGGATGGTTAACTATTATCGACAGTTCGTCCCAAATTGTGCGTCAATTTTATTACCACTGACGAATATCTTGTCTCTGCATAAGAAAAAAAATTCGCAGATATCACTATCACAAGATGAGCTACGATCATTTCAAAATGCAAAAGATGCACTACAGAACTGTACCAAACTAACTTACATTAATTCATCGGAGAAAGCTAACCTCACCTTAACGACAGATGCATCAGCTGACACAATTGGCGCTGTGTTGCACCAAATTACTGATGGCATCGAAACAGCTTTGTCTTTTTTCTCATTAAAGCTAAATGCTACACAGAAGAAATATAGTACTTTTTAAAGAGAATTACTTGCTGTTTATTTGGCAATACGGCATTATCGACACATCCTTGAGGGTAGAGACTTTATCATTCTCACAGATCATAAACCGTTAACGTATGCGTTGCATGCGAAGTCCGATAAACTAAACCCGAGAGATACTCGCTACTTGGATTATATCTGTCAATTTACATCGGACATTCGGTTCGTAAAAGGTCAGCATAATACTGTTGCAGATGCATTATCGAGACCTACGCTTGACGTGATACAATCATCTTCACTCGAATTCGACATACTTGCTGAAGAACAGTTGAGTGACGACACACTCCCTTCAGTACAGGCAGATACCTCTCTGAAATTAGAAAGACGTCCACTACCTTTCACCGAAAAGCTTGTTTATTGTGATACTTCAACAGGCAACCCTCGACCCTACCTGCCTCCGTCGATGAGAAAAATGGTTTTCGACTACTTTCATTCACCAGCTCACCCTGGAGCGAAGGCTACGCTGCGGACCATATCTGACAGATTTGTCTGGCCCGGTATGGCTTCCGACGTGAAACAGTGGTTCCGCAGGTGCCAGCGTTGCCAGGCAACAAAGATAAGCCGTCATACGAAAGCAACATCGTCAACCTTTGCGGCCCCTGATGGTCGTTTTACTCATATACACGCCGACTTTGTAGGTCCGCTTGACAGGATCAGTGGATACGAATATATCCTGACTATCGTAGATCGCTTCACACGATGGCCGGTGGCCGTACCGCTATCAACGATAACAGCAGAAGCGGTAGCCAACGCTATCTTTCAGAATTGGATTTCAATATTTGGATGCCCTGCGGTTATTACTACCGACAGAGGACCTCAGTTCCAGTCGACTTTATTTACTGAGTTCGTCAATTTGCTTGGAATTAAACACATTTCTACTACGGCATATCATCCCTGCTGCAACGGATTAGTAGAACGTTTTCATTGACAGCTCAAGTACGCATTAACAGCGTCTACCAGTGCTCGTACGTGGGTAGACAAACTACCATTTGTGATGCTTGCGCTACGAAATACAATCAAACTAGATCTGAAATGTACGGTGCGGAATTGGTATTCGGGAAACCAACAACCCTTCCAGGACAATTCTTTTACAATGTTACGGATTCTACTCCTACCAGTTATTTTGTGTCCGATCTTAAACAAAAAATGACGGAAATAATATATACGCCCACACGGGTTTACAAGAAACCATATTACGTGCCAACAGACTTAAATTCCTCAGAATATGTTTTCCTGCGTCGTGACGCAGTTCGAAAACCTCTAACACCGAACTATACTGGACCACATCTGGTAATCTCCAGAACACCTAAATATTTCGTAATAGACGTTGCTGGTAAACAAAATACTGTCAGCATAGACAGACTCAAACCAGCATACGTACAGTGTGATGACGTCATTCAAACACCACCAAACCCAACAACACCAGAGCAATCAAATACACAAACGACTACTACAGATATGTCTCCATCAACCCAGTCTACTCGCACGAAATCGGGCAGACATGTTCATTGGCCAGCTAAATTTCGCACATACATTACATATTAATGCCAATTGACAATAGCCATTAATCTAGGGGGAGGTATTGTAGACTCGTCCTTTTTTTCCTTACCTTTCAACCCTAGCAACAGAACAGTCTATATCTTACGCCTACGTACGGAAAACTTCAACCAATTAAAACTGCACTAAGCGAAACAAACAATCTCATTGGTTCATCACTGAAAGTTTACGTGCAGAACGAACCTGCACCAAAACTCAAGTGAGCCACCTTCGGACTTTCAGACCTTATAAAAATAAACGCTGACCGCCCCAGGCAGTCAGTAACAAACACCCACGGAGAACTTGCCAAAATACTCGCTGACTCATTCCCGATCGAAAACTTAATCAACTCTGTGGATATCAATTCTCAACATTGCTTATCTAAAGTGACTTATATTCGCTACCTTTTAAGTAAACATCAACGTACGAACGACCTTAAAAAAACATTACATTACAGTTAAAGGTAGATCACTCTTAAAAAACTCCTTCTAAAAGAGACACTTAATATCGACAATTATTAATATCAACACAAACTTAAAAAGACTGTAAATGAACGAACAATTACAAAGACAGACATTCTGAAATCAAAAAAAAACCTCATACACATTTCGCCAACATAACATATATCAATTATCCTGTTTGTATATTGTTTGAATTGTATATGAATGTTATATTAATTTCTAATTGAATATGTCTCGTTCTTAATCGTATTTTAAATTTCGTTTATTTATTTGTTGTGGATACAGAAAGTCACAAGACTTACACAAATTCCTTCTGATTCTTTCAAGCATAATTAATAAATTCTGCACGTCCCCAACAATTTCACATGGTGATTTTAATAAACACTTTGATGTGTTTTTAATTAAATTTTATTCACAAATGAATGAAATTATTTTTGAAAATGTTTTTATTAGCAAATCTTGGTAAAGACATTTGTTACATGCGTCGCATCCCTTTAATAGTATAAAAACTTGAGAAATTCATCGAGATAATTTTTAGTGACTATATTAGCTAAAAGTAGAATTCTTTGAAGAATCTGCTCTGAATCGAAAAATAAAAAATGCAGTAAAGCTAAGACATTATTTAATTAGAAAAGCTTTTAATTACTTTTATGGCTAATATATATTAAAAGCATTATCTGAAGAAAAAATATTTTTTCGACGAAAAATGAATTTTTTCAAGATTTGTTTTCATTTTTCTTACAATTTTAAATTGAATAGTTTATAAAAACTTTAAATCTTTTAAAATTCATTTTCAGTGCGATAATTCTTAGAAAATATTGTTATTAAGTAAAACTATACTTGCAAAACATATATTGTAATACATATTACAACTTGACGAACTGAATATTTTTTTTAAATTCGATTTGTTTTTGTATGTGTGATTACGTGCAGAATTTCTGAAGTATGGATGTACAAACGGATAAATCTAGCATTTAAAGGTCATGTGTTTTAAGGTTGTATCCTCTAACAGCGAAAAACAAAACACATTATCGTCTACTGTACCATTCTTAATTATGAACACGTCCGGCTGTCAATCGGATGTAAATAAATCGATTAACACATCAGAAAAACAAGACGCCGTAGTTAAGAAATCTTTGTCTACAACATTTTTAAGTAATATTTGTTTCAAATCAGATTAATTTAACTTTAAAAGTGCTACTTTTCCTCAAATAACGTTTCAAAAATACATATTTTATTTTTGCAAGATTTTTAAAACGAGAATTAACTTTTGTTCACAAATTTTTCAATTTGATCGATTTTAATGAAAATCGATTCCCATCACTATAGCTTCTGTTTGAAATACACCACAGAGTATATTGCTTACTGGAAATAGTTCATTTTAAACGCTTTACCTTTCAATTAAAATTAAAATGAAAGCTTTTTCATTTTTAAAAAATCATTTTACTTTACTTTACATATACCGAATTAGTGGCGGTACCTATATTAATAATTAATAATAATAATAATAATTATTATTATTATTATTATTATTATTATTAAAGGGAAAGTCAGGGGTAGATCAGTGTTTGAAATCCAGAAATTGTTTGACACGTTATATTTGGCAATACCTGTCGAAAAGTGTTAAAAACAAAAATGAAGGCAACACTATTTTTGCAAAGGATACGAATTCCATTCCTCACCGTTGACAACACCGTGTGTGTGTGTGACGTCACACAGCTGAACAGCGCCGTGTGAGGCGCGAAAAACTTGAAAATTCATAAAAAAACGATTGAAAATTCCAGAATTTGACCTTTTAAGAAGATTCAGGAACATACTAGAAGTATGTAGCATTTATTGCAGAAATTTTAATTTGGAAAATGTCTTTTAAGCTTGCGTACAGGAAGTTTATTTTATAATGTAATGAAAAAATGTATACATTTTTTTTTTGTAGCATCAAGTTTTTTTAGTTTATTTATTATTTGGTAAATTTCCGGAAAATGTTTTCTTTCACTTTTTATCCTTCTTTCTACCGAATATTTACAATTTGTATTTAATAATATAACTTTCCTTGATCTCAAAAACAAAAAATCGTTTTACTGACGATAGGAGTGGAAACATTGCATAATAATAAAGTTTTTAAAAATTTATTTATTGCATATTACTAAGGATTCCAGATCACGAACATCAAAACCATTATTTTTATAAAAGTTAATGGAGTGGGAGGGGGGAGTCCAGTTTGCTAAAATCATTGTAAACAAATCAATGTGAATTGATCTCCCTAGGCCTACGGAAGCCAAAACAAAATAATATGCTTTCAAATCACGTTATTTCATAGGCCTAGTTTAAACGTAAAAAAAAAAAAATCGTAGTCTGGGGTTCTTTTGTCATACTAAACACTCCAAAATTCGAATTTCATTAATTTTTATTTTTAACTTTACGAAGTCACGTGGCATCCATGTCAGTCAATTTACAATTACAGTGTAACCCGGATATAAGAGAGTTGTCGGACCGGAGACGAAGTCTCTTATATCCGGGTTTGGTCTATTTTATATACATTAACACAGGCTCTAATTTGGGACCAGAGAAAATCTCTCTTATATCCGGGTTACACTGTACTTTTCATAGCAAGCTGACTCCCTACCCACCATTTTCTCTTAAATGAATATTCGTTATTATTTGTAATGCTTAATGAAAAAATAATTATTTCTGGTAACAGTGCCTTAATTGTTATGAGAGAAAAGAAGAAATATACTTTTTAGTTTTTTTGTATAAATATATAGTTTGTAAGAAGTGTAGAATCTCTGTAATAATTGGGAAAAAAAAAAGTTCCACAAATACAGAATGGCCAAACCAAAAAAATTATTCCCATCCTGTATAAAAAAAAAAAAAAAAAAATATATGAAAAGGGTCAATGTGGTACATATTTAGAAGCTAGTTTTAAAATAAAGTGGAATGTAACAGAAGTAAATCTGTCTTTGGTATGCATAAATTATTTGAAATGTTAAACTTAATATCTGAAAAATGTTCCCAGGCTTCAAAACATACATTTTTTTTTCTATTTCTGTGAGTATATTAGCTTCGGAAGGTTAAATGTTTTCTAAAGTCCATATAAATTGAAATATATCCATGCAAATAGTTAACTCCCAAACTGGGATCAAAACACTCTGAAAGTGTAAAAATAGGTTGTAATACCAGCAATTAATTTTTGTAGAAAAAAATTATTACCAGCAATACAATTTTGAGAAAAAGATATTACCAGCAATAAAAATCTTGTCAACATTAAATAAACCATTGAGGTTGGTATGCCGTAAAATAAAACAAAACAAACAAAATTCAGTAGGAAATCTGGCATTACTACAGAAAAATACCTCTCCAAAAAAATAACCATTTTCTTTTCATATAACTATCAATTAAGTTCCGCAGATCATGAATATTAAAAAAAAATTTTTTTATTTTTCTAAAATTTTTAATTGGGGTTCAGATATCCCGAAGGAACACAGCACATAGAAGACATGTTGTTTGGGTATATGATACTGATATATGTACACACATCTGTGGTAAAGTTTCTTTGCCTACCAAATGACCAAATACAATACCTTTTTCCAAAAATCTTTTTTTCAGTGCCAGCTTCTATAGAATTTATCTCATTCAAAAAAGACAAATGTTAAAATAACCAATCATTTTCTTTTCTTTTTTTCCAGCTGTATTTCTTTCTTGATTCCTATCTACAATGTCGCGTTCCCAGTTTCCAATGTTGGACCAGTCTGTGTCCACTTTGAATACAGTGGACTCCTATCTGGCCACTGGCATGGAGACTGTTGTTGACTGTGCCCAAGATCTTTCTGATATAATTTCAAGTAAGTAAGCTCTTCAATTAAATGCTAATCCTTTTGCTGACTATGTGCCGGCTTAGGGTTTTAAAATCATTCAATGTGAAAACAGCATACGTATAGTATATATATTTTAGTATGTATTACAATTGAAACAGCTAAATATCTTCTTTGCGTTGTAGTAGTTATTGGTTCAGACTTTGTGATGTCATTTGCAGTTGTGTGCCATTTGAAATTGCTTGTCATGCCACAGGTTGCCAAGCCTCTGCTTTATACAAAACACAAGGTAATTATTTGTCCTGCAACCTTGCCTAACTAATTAGTAAAGGGTTAAAACTAGTCAGGACCAGTAACATTGCAGATTGTTCTTTGTATTTTATCTAGAATCTCGAAAGACATAGCAAAAGCACCAGACCTGATGTGATAGCAATATTCAATGTTTGGATGAATGGTAGACTTATAAATGATGGTGCCATTGCTGGAAACATTCTTGGAATTAGTTTTTCAGAACATCTTTCTGTAATGTAGTCATGTGTACAGATGTCAGCATTTCTGTCCTCTAAAGGCCTCTTTTTTCTTCCTTTTTTTTTTTTTTTTTTTTTTTCAAATTTTGGCAATAGCTGAAAATCACAGGGGACGAATTTTGGTGAATTAGGTGAATGGACCATTTTTGTAACAGATTTCTTGGCCAAGAAGTTGTAAACTTGAAACACATTGTTTTTTTTTATTATTAAATTGTCTATTAGAATCTGTTCATGTTCAGTTTTTCTGCCATCAAGCAGACACAGAATGTTTGATCTGATCACGCCTTTTGTCCACATTTGCATCTGATTTTTGTGTTTGGGGGCTGCCCACTTCTTGTATCATGCCCTTCCTCGAACTCACTGTGCCACTCTAAAACTCCTAATTTCTTAGCATGTTCTGATGTGGCTTCCATTAAAACATATAAGATCATTACTTTTGGAGCAAAAGTACATACATAGCCAATGATGGTGACTATATGGAAAATAGTGTTTTGTAGCTGAAAACTTGCTCTATCCAACGAGGTCATTGGACTCTCTCTATCTGTTCTAGTTTCTGTGGAGCATTACTTTTGGAGCAAAGATACATACATAGCCAATGGTGGTGACTATATGGAAAATAGTATTTTGTAGCTGAAAAGTTGCTCTATCCAACGAGGTCATTGGGCTCTCTGTATCTGTTCTAGTTTCCATAGAAACACATCAGATCATATTTATGTGTATGCTAGCACGGCTGCATAATTTACTTGCACATTAATTTATTTTTAATTCTCAAAGCCCTTATATTTAATGGAAGTTTTTCCATCAGGGTAAACTGAACATTGGAGTCTGTCCACTTTTCCAAGAAAGTGGCTATTTAGCACTAGCATTTAGAAATGTAAAACCAGGTAAAAAAATAAGGAAAGTCAATATGGTCATCCCAATCAGCATTCATTTTAACAGATATATTTACCAAAATTACACAAATATATCTTAAAATGCTAAAGAGTAAATTTATTCATTAAAATCACCATTCATTTTGACCATGGCCTATTGGTGTTTTCAGAAGTTGGTAAATTCTGCCATAATCCTTGCCTTCACTTCATCTTTGGTGTTAGAAGGAGTTTTGTTGATCTCTCACTCAGCTGCACCCACACACAATAATCAAGGGGGTTGCAATCTGGGGATTTAAGTGGCCAGAGGTAAGGGGTGATGTGGTCACAGGAATTGTGTGACAGCCATAACTGGGTTCTCCTTCTAGTGTGGCATGATGCAGAGTCCTGTTGTCAGACAGGGTTTTCCAGCAGCCACTCTCTTGACCCAGGGCAGCACTAGCTCCTCAAGGCATTTGATGTAGGCCTCCATGTTGAGTCTGTGTGAAGATGAACAGAGGCATAACATTACCATCACTAGTGATCACTCCAAACACCATGATGTTGACAGGATATTTGGTTTTCATCACTCTTGGTACATCTTTTGGGTACACAGCATGCCAACAGTTGTTCTGTGTGTTCATCATCTTATCCTGATAGAAATTTTCCTCATCTGAGAAAAGCCAAAGTATGTTCAGTTGAAGGGAGTTCAAAAAGCTTTGTAGCACGGCCTTTCCTCTTGTCCTTCTTGGCTTGGGATAAAAATTGGCCCTTTCTCATCTTGTATGAGAAACATCAAATGTCTTCATGCACTACCTGCCTGATAAGAAACTCCTGGATCCTGATAGACCTGATTGACTTAGAGGGATCATTGTCAATCATGGCCTACATCTCGCCAACAAATTCTGGAGTTCTTTTCTTATCAGAACGATTAGAGTGAGTTTTCTGAGTTGACATACCTTCGTAATCACCATTAGACTCACCCAACTCTTTCCTAATTCTCTGCACTGTCCTCAGATTGCTACACAAGCACTCTGAAATGTTTTTATTGGAACTTCCAGCATGAATGTTAAACAGTACAGCATGCCATTTCCAAATTTTTGGCGGAGTGAATTGTGTCATGGTGCTCTTTTTTTTATCACAGATGGTACCCAACCTACCCTACTGCACTGTGCAGTCAACAAAATGAAAAACAAACAATGCATATGCATGAAATTAAAAATATAAAATAGCGACAATTTACCCATCACACCCAGGATGTGTGTGTGTATATATATATATATATATATATATATATATATATATGTGTGTGTGTATACTAGGACACCTGCATAATTTACTTACACATTAAATTATTTTTAATTCTCAAGGCCTTTGTATTTAATTGAAGTTTTCCCAGCATGGTAAACTGAGCATTGAGTTTGTCTGCTCATTTTAAAAAAAAAAGTGAATATTGTGACTTATACTAAATTATAATTTTATAGATGTTTCACACTGTATGTCCACAACCCACCCCACAATCCTCCCTTCGATCCATAATGCTTCTCTTTTGTAAGTTTGACTTTTTTTTTCTGAATAAATAACTTGCCTATTTCATGCCCCTGTTCTTGTAACCATCTACTATACTAAGTCAAATGGGGGTACAGGATGCACATGCATCCCCAAACAACCCTTGTTACCTCCCGCTTCTCCTTATGGGTCTCTTAGTCCTCACGTATATGAGCGAGCTTATCTTGTTATCTTGTTATCCTGGTCTGCGCTCCATTATGGCGATCGGGTGTCCGCAATAAGCCCGGCATCAACATGGTTAGTTGGAGAGAGCTCCAACTGACCAGGTTGACTAAGGAGAGGCGACTCGGTCCAGGGTGGAAACACAGCAAAAATATACAATTGAACTTTCTGTATGTAATGTTCAGTGTTCTGTGTTAAAATAGAATGTGTATTTAGAAAAACATACAGATTATTTATTACAAGGCCACTGACCAGTACAATGTTTCTGATCCAAGGAGGAGTCCTGTTGCCTTGACTTCTGGGCAGGCACAACATGTCCACTCTGAGTATCAGTTGATTCTTCCTTCATTAAGGGTGCTACATTTTCTAAGTTTTGGTGTTATCCACCTGATAGTCAGCAATCCAAACCTTCAAGTAATTCTGAAGAATGCTATCTTGTCAGCAGGTGTATAATATCAGGGCTGTTGTACTGCCATTTTGTGAATGGTTTATGAACTGTACAGTAGTTTCCTGTGGGACCTCTCGATGACATGATGAAAGGTACTACTATGTCAGTATCTTGGGACAATTCTCTTCAGGTTATTTACACATGCAACTTCTGTGGGTGTGTCTGTCTCACTACTTGTCTTCCACCAACCAATGCACACAAATACCCAATTAAAATGAACAAAACTAGCAAGCCCAACCTCAAAAAAAAAAGTATAGACCCCCCCCTCCCAATGTATGTAATTTCCTACACCAACATGAGGGGTCTACATTCAAATTTTCCAGAAGTGGAACGCGATCTTCTTCGGTCCAAACCTGAAGCACACTAGAGGAACTCACAGTTCTGGGCTACTCACTTCTTATAGCAAAATACAACCACTTAAATTGTCATGGTCACAGACTTGGAGCTTACATCAAGGATGATTTTCCCTGTGACAGGGACACAAAAGACGAGGACTCTGATCTCCCCTATATGTGCTTCCGCATGGCACTTATCCATAGTACCACATTCGTCTTTGCTCTCTATCATCCTCAGGATAAAGGGATGCTAATCTTCAATCAAATATCTCAGAAGATGGATAATATCCTCACACAGTTTCCCTTGGCTAGCTTTCAGGGACATCAATATCCACCATAAAAAATAAATTCACTCCAACAAAAACAATGATGAAGGCAGATATTGCAGAGACTTCTCCATCACTTATGAACTAACCTGGATCATCGAAGAACCTGCCTGTGTTCCTGATTGGACAGGACATCAGGCAAACCTCAACTTCTCCTGCCCTGATAAATGCTTAGCAAAAGTTTTACCCCACACCACATTGGCATGTCAGACCATTCCCTAATCAGTGTCCAGATTGATGCCAAAACTAAAATAGAATGATTTTTCAATATGCTAAAGCAGACTGGGACAGTTTTTGATTCTATATGATGGAAGCTCCACTCCCAACCTTTTTCAAGCATGTTGCCTCCAAAATTGCTGCCCTTGTCACTGATTAGATCCTTTCTGGAATGGAGATAAAGCAGCTGTGCCCACAATTATAAATGGCCTTGAGGTCATATCTTCCTTGACAGACAAGGCAAACCTCTTCACATCAATCTTTGCCTCTAACTAAACATATTACCATTACAGTAAGAGAAGTCACTAGACTTATCAAAGGCCTTGACCCTAAGAAAGCCACTGACCCAGACAAAATTCCCGTGGTTGTCCTTAAAAATATCAACCTGGAATTATCCCCAATCCTAACAAAGCTATTCATCTACTGTCTGAAGGAGAAATCCTTCCCAAGCCTGTTAAAGATGTCAAGTGTATGCCATGCTTTCAAGAATGTGGGTGTGTAATCTTACCCCTCCTGGTACAGACCCATCATCATCATCAATAAGCTTTTAGAGGCCATAATCAATAAGAAGGTCGTCGAGCACCTAGAAAAGAACAACCTCTTCAGCAACAAGCAGTATGGGTTTCGATCAGCCCAATCCACTGCTAATGTCCTAACTACCATCACTCACAGAATCAATGAGGCTCTTGACAACAAACACACCTCACACAAACACACCTCAAGAACCATGGCATTAGATATCTCAAACACCTTCGACAAGATGTGGCAGAAAGGTTTACTACACAAGGGTCATATTGATCATAAAATCCTTCCTAACAGGTAGGTCCCTGTAGTTATTAATAGCCAGTCCTCTGGAACCTTAGTGGTCAACACAGGCATCCTCCAGGGGTCACTCTTCTGACCAACCCTCTTTTTGATTTACATAAATGATCTACCTAAGAATATACTCAGATCATTTGTAAACATCTATGCTGATGAGATGATATGACTATATATGGGTGCACATGATGGTCAGAGATTAGGAACTGATCTCTCTTCCAATCTTGCACAAACTACCCAATGGTGTAAAAACTGGTTGGTTTACATTCAATGCCTCAAAGACCAAGCTAGTTACCTTCCATCATCACTGTTTCGAACCCAAACTACCACCAATCAAGATGAACAGATGTCCTCTCAGGCACCGTGCTTTGAAAGACTATTGGGATTCAAACTCCCACCTGACCCCAAGTGGAATTCGTACATACGATCCGTTGATAAGGATGCAGGTAAAATGGTCGGCTCTCTGTACTGCTCCACTTAGTACCTGACTCCTTGTGCTGTCCTCTAACTTTACAAAAGCCAGATCTGGCCAAAAATGGAGTACTGTTTTCATATTTGAGTAGGAGCTGCGCAGACTTTACTCTCCAGCCTTGATAGAGTCCAAAAGCGTCTCTGATCCCATGTATGTGATGAATTATTCTCCACTCTCCAACCTCACTCTTACAGGCAGGATGTGGCAAGCTACATGCCCTGGTACTGCCAAGTCACACCTTCATTGCAAGAACATGCCATGCTACTTACATTCCCTCTCTATTCTATTGGTGAGAGGTAAGTTCCACTCAGTTTCTTCCCATGAGCCACTGCACTGTGGAACCATCTCCCAGCAGGATGGTTCCCTGATTACTACAATCTTAACCTGTTCAAGGATAGGGTTAACCATTATCTTCTATTCCTATACCCACAAATAGCCTCATAACATAACCCTCTACCTCTAGTGGCCGTAGGAGCCTTGTAAAGAGTAAACCTTACTGTAAAAATAAAAATTTGGAGCAAAAATACATACATAACCAATGGTAGTGACTGTGTGTCAAAATTTAATTTCCATAATGTCCCTGTGAAAGCAAAGTTTGCTGACCTAATCACTATTGATTGCTGTTGCCTTCAAAGTGTCCCTCTTGTGAAACTATTCATTTCATGAGACAATTGTGCCATTGCTGGAAACATTCTTGGAACTCCTTTTCCAGAATGCCTTTTGGTAATGTAATCATGCAATGCTGGATGTCAGCAAATCTTTGTCCTTTCAGGCCATTTTTCAATTCTGGATATAGTCAAACACTACGGAGAACTAAGTCTGATGAATAAGGCGAATGGCTCATTTTTGTAGTGGATTTCTCAGCCAGGAACTTACAAATGCCTAACACTTTCTGTTCCCAAATCCTATGTTAGAAACTTCTGCACACAATCCCTATTCATATTCATTTCTGCTGCTATCAGTCAAATACTTAATTTTTGATTTGAGAAGGTTCACACTCTGTCCACATTTGTATTTGTTCTTTGTGTTTTGGACTGCCTTCTTCTTGGTTCAATGTGTACATCTCGCCCTTCCTTGAAATATTTGTGCCACTCAAAAACACTTAATTTCTTGGTAGCATATCTACCATAAGCCATTTTCCATTTTTAATAGGGGAGAAAACATTTCACTGGCAGTTTTACCTCACTTTGCACAAAATGTTAAGTTGATCCAGATTTCTTTCATACAGTTTCCACCAACAGTATAACATGAACACATACAACTTCCTCTACTGATCGACAATGAATAAGTCAACTGGTCTACATCTCAAGCAAGTGGAAGTTGGAACATGTCCAGACATGCTCAGGTACAAATGTTTGCCTGACTTCTTCAGTAACTTCTGCTTATTCTGGAAATTGTCACACGTCATATATATTGCTGTCGAATCAGTCTCTTTACAGAATATCTTATTCTGTCTATATTTCTGAGATGAGGTATTATGTCATTTTTGTTGCCATATTTATCACAACGTTTCGCCCGTTGTACGCTCCGGCCTTCTTCAGGTGGTTGGAATGTCGAGCTGAACCCTTTATTTCACTCACCGTGGTAGGCTGTTCTAGTTCCACCTGCCATGTTTGATGGATGTCAGATACCTTTATCCACTGTGCCATCTGACCATTGCATATAGCATGAAACAGACTGTTGCCTCTAAGTGTTGACTTCTATGTTCACTTTTATATATATATATATATATATATATATAATCCATATGGGTAGACCCAAGAAGGATGAAATTCAGAGCAGATATGTTTGAATAAAAACAAACCACTTTAAGGTTCCATGTAATAAGTTATTTCACCACAACCCCTTTAACAGGACTCTGGATCATCAAACTTTACTTCCAAAGGTTGAAATGAAAAGAAATTCACACATTTTTGACAGACCGCATCAAGCATATGTAAAATTGAGGAAGTGAGGTGGGAGAGAAGACATGAGTGAGTTAGATGTACCATTTCAATTCCTTATCCTTAACCCCACACTGTTTGTGGTGAAATAACTTATTACATGGAACCTTAAAGTGGTCTGTTTTTATTCAAACATATATATATATATATATATATAGTGATAGTGTTTATATATATATATATATATATATACACACACACACACACATACAAGTATAGGATTGGTGTATACGGAATAAATTCCAATAACCAACAAATACTATTCATATATTTTCTTCCTCTAGAACTTTTAGAATTATTTTCTTTACTTGATTTGTAAGTTTCATTGAAACCCAGATTTCCATACAATCACTGATGTTAAACAAAGTCAAGCCTGGTCAGTACTTAGATAGGTACTTGGGAAGACCAGGTGCTGTAAGCTTGGACATGCAGGGGGTGTAATAGTTAATGGCTCAGAATTGTTAATTGGAGAACCAAGTTCCAGTTGGGTTCATTATATTCTCTTATACACATATACTCTTGGGAAAGGTATGAATCCACCTTTTCTCCACCCGGTTATAGGATAATTCGTAAGACTTGTATCACTAATATCATTATTATCCCCCCCCCCCCAAAAAAAAAAAAATTTTTTCACTCTAAAAATATTTCCTGGCTTTCAATAATCTGCACAGGGTTTTAAGCCATAGAAAACAAATCTATCAAACAACATGATTTGTAAGTTTATTTTGCTTGCTTTCATTTTTTTTTTTCCAGTGTCTGATAACAGTGCTTCCCAAATGGGGGAAATGAAGGATATCATGCACAAGTTTGTAGAGATGAAACGTGACCTGCAACAATATCTTATTGCTATTGACTATGTGAAGGAACAGGTGAGTAGGTGTTTAAGTTCGTTATATTTAAAAGGGACCATAGACACGAAAGTGTGAGGAGAGGTGCCTTTTAGTTTTCGTAAAATACAATAATCCTTGTCCTGAATATATATTCTAACAGAATCGATATTGCTACAAAAGGTCACTTCTAAAGGCCATTTTTCACGTTTGGATCCCTGTATTACCAAATTTGCAGGAAACACACAAAGGTCAAGTAATCATATGCTTTGCTTGGTTGTTTCAACATTTCAACCATTGTTCCTTGTGGACTTCTTCAAGAGTCTGTTGTATTTTTGTCTGAATATTTGAGATGAAGAATTATCAGCAATGTTTAACCTTTGTGCATACAAAACAACAGTGTGTCAAATGGACGGTTTTTCCCTTGACACCGCTATTATTTTGTACTATCATCAGTCCCTTGTCATTGTTTACTTACAAGATTAAAAATTTGGGTAAAAGATCCTGAAAGAGTTATACATTAAATGACAATTGGAAAAAACATTCATGAAAGTATATTTCCAAAAAATATCCAATAATACATTTTGCCCACTTCAACTTTCATCAGATCGAAGATGGAAAAGTGAATTTCATATATATATATATATATATATATATATATATATATATATATATTGAGAGATAGATGTGTGTGTTTATTTAAAATAATGAGATCATATGTTTTTTCCAAGCTAACCTTGCTTGTGACTAGAAAAGAAAGAAAATGAGTGACTTTTTAAAAAAGTAATTTAACATTTTATGTTCTTTGTTTTAAGTGTTTGAGTTTAAAGATGGAAATCCATCAGAATGGGTAGAAAATAAATGAAAGATTTGTTTTTTTTTTATCCTTGCATTCTCCATGTTGACAATATGTTAAGATTTTGGGTAAATGACAGATTTATACATTAAATGACAATTGGAAAAACGTTCATGAAAGTGTGTTTCGAAAAAATATCCAATAATGCATTTCGTAATTTTGGGGCTTCATCGGATCGAAGACAAAAAAAAGTAAATTTCATTCAATTCTCAAGAACAAAAAATCTGTATAAATCCACTTTCATATGTTTGGGTTTTATTAAAATTCTAATCATCACTTTTTAAAGCAAGAAACATTGCCAAGAGAATGAAGGTAGTTAAAATAAGAGTGATGTCAAGGGATAAACCACCTTTTTGACACACCATTTTATTGCAAACATGAAGGTTAAAGTTTGCTAAATTATCATTATTACATGCTTTGTTATTTTGGATTAACATGTTCATCTTAATTGTTACACTCACAATATTTGAACTGCAGTATTCTCTGGGTTATTTCAGGAGTCTCTATTTGTACTTGCTATCCTTCTTGGGATTTTAAACTGAATCCTTTATTCGAATCACGAAGTAGATTATTCAGATTCTGCTTTCCATGCTTAGGGGAGGTAACTCGTATGAGAATGTTGATAATAGTCACCATTCTTATTCATCTTTGTGTCACTTGTCTGCTTCTCCCACTAAACTAGAGTATATGATTTTTCAGCATTATCAGATCTAAAGATTGAACTTGCAACTGCCAGGGAACTTGATATGTTTTAAACAACATTTTAATCCACTGGTCCATGGACGGTGAACAAAAGCTAGAAGGTACAATAGGAAATCATTGTTAGTATAATACAAACATGCTAGTATCTGCAACAAATAGGCATCTCACGGCTCAGTAGGACAGAAAAATTAGCAGCACTGGAAACCAACATGAAAAGAGGCAAGTGGTGCATGAAAAGGATTTCCACACAAGAACACTGTAAATGCAAGCAAGGACAAACAAATTTCAGGTCACATTCTAACTTTAACTCAGACAGAAATCCTCGTTAATACACAACAATCACATTATATGCTCAGTATGGCATAATGCCCACTGATCCTCCTCAGAACATGTGCCTGCTTTTATTGAGCCCAAAACATTAGTGATTGGCTAGCAAAACAAATCATTTGCATAAATAACACTGCTCAGCTCACTATCCTGACTATTTTGTGGTGGAGCTGATAGATATTTTTCCATAGCCAAACATCCCGGAGTTTGCACCAGCACTATTCTGGCTAGGTAGCTATTTTCTTTCTCTTTACAGTGACAGCACACTAGACATTGTTGCTTTCACCGATGGGGACAGGTGCCATTATCAGTGGTGGCAGGCAGCTCATTCTGCATTTCATTTCTGTTACATGTTGTTACAACACTTCAGTCATTGTGCCCACCGGCATGTGTATATTGATCCAGGTAACCTACAAGGAATTCCAAACTGAACCCATTATTTAATCTACAAGGGTTTATTGTTCTCATTCCACTGCCCATGTCTAGGCATATCCCGTCTAGTCCTTACTTTTAGTACTGCTCAGTTACTATTTCCACTGAGTTCAAATACACACTGCCAGATCATTGTGAAAAAATTATCACATTATCACATATCTAATATATACTCATGTATAAGCCTATTTCATATACCACCCCAGAATTTTTTAGAAAAACCTGATTTTTTTTTTCATATAGCTTGTGTATAATTCTGAGCAATAGTAGTAGGCCTACTGTATTCAAATGTTGCTGTACTGGGCATCGTCCTGGACATATTTTATAACAAATAAATGGTCGTCATTCTTTTTTGTATAAAGCTACCTCAAAATGGTGAGAAAAACCATTTACCATAAAATACCTGATACAAAGATGTATAGTTGTATAGTCACCAAAAATGCATGAAATTTACTTTTTTTTACCCTGAGGTTTGCCCTGTATAAGGCCTGGGGCTACTTGAGGTCGGGGGTTACAATAAGAGGCAGTTTATACAGATAGGAAGGGAAGATAATTGTTAATTCTAGGCTTGAACAGGTTAAGATTGTAGTGATCAAAAAAATGTCTTCTTGGGAGTCGGTTCTACAAAGCAGTGGCTTGCAAGAAGCTATTCAAATAGAACTTACTTCTCACCAATGAAATACAGAGGGAATGTTGATGGTTTGCTACAATGTAAGTGGTGTGGTGTGTCCTAGCCATGAAGGTTAGGACTGTCTGAACCAAGGAAGTAGCAATAGTGCAGTGAGAGGCATGCCACATCCCACCTGTGTGAGAGAGAGATTTGAGAGTGGAAAATAATTTGTCACCAAAACAAGGACACTTAAATTCTATCAAGACTGCAATGTCAGTCATTATGTTCTGCCTTCATGAAACCTGGCTTTTTATTGTCCCTTCTCCTTACTAGTCTTCTCATTCACTTTCACTCCTAGAAATTCCTTCTATCTTAGTGGCATTATTGCTTTGCTTGGGGTGAAATGATAAAAATAAAACTTGCATGGACACACACATACACTATGAAAAAAAAAAACTTGCACCAATAAAAAGTGCATATAAAACAAAGAATATCACAACGGAATGCAGTAGTGTAATTTATCCCTGACGATGATCTTGAAAATAATCAAAAGTACTTGGGTTAAAAAAAAGACTGCATTGCCATCCTTGATGAATTTCATCTTAATATCAAGAAACTGATTAGACAACTGGAAAGGATCAGTATAAAAATAAATAGATTCAATGTGTCTATATTATTCAATGAAATATGTTTGAATGAAAATACAGTGCCTAAATATTCATATATAATATATATAAGTAATACAAGTAAAAAGTTTGTCACTTAGCTGATTGATGTTGTCTTCAGCATCCTGACTCTAGAGTTTCATAGATTGGCCGTCCAGGAATCACTCCATCCACTCATTAGGGTGTGTGTGTGTGTGTGTGTGTGTATATATATATATATATATATAGGGGCACACACACACTTTAGACTGCTGCACCATGGCAAAATGCAGTGGTGCCTTTAAAAAACAAGCCACGTCTATAGCAATTTTTGTCTTCAACTTCAAGAAAATATTTTTCTCATTTTTTTTTTTCCTTTTTTTTTTCCTTTTTTTTTTCCTTTTTTCCTTTTTTTTTTTAAATTAAGAATGAAAAATTTTACGTTTTTCTTAATAAGGTGGTTATATGGGTTTTCCAAGAAAAATCCTATGCACATATATTTTCAAGGAAAATAGGTACATGAAAAGAATTTCAACAAATGTCACGAGTTTATTTCAATCTTGCAACAATTATGTCTGCCAGAAAAGAAATGAACATCACATGTATACACAAACATTACATAGTAATAACACATTTCATTTTAAAACAGCAATACTTAAATAGACTGGCCCTCTCAAAAAGGAAAGAAAACTACATGCATGTCAAAAAATCAGGGGTCAGTTTAATCTTGTATTTCTAATGTAAACAAGACCCCCCACTACCACCACCACCAGCACCTAAAATAATAGAAAATTAATGTTTTTTGATTCTGACAAATTTCCTGAGTAGAGGAAGTTCTGAATGTTAGGCAACAAAAATTAGTTGTGAAAATATTTTTATCTCGGTATCTCCAAAACTTCGCAAAATGTCAGTATAGTATAATGATAACTGGTCCAAAACTTAATAAAAACAAAGTTTCATCATAAAAATGTTTGTTATTCTTAAGAGGAAAGAACAAAGTATTTTTAAAATACTTTTTAAAATTTTTCTCTTCTTTCTAACACGTTTTAAATTTGGGTCAAACATCTCGTTTTCTTTTTTTTAAAACCGTACGACTTGTGGTCATCACTTTTTTTAGTGTAGCAATTTCGGGGGAGAACCCATTAATTTTGAAATTATTGCAAAAATCAAAGAAAATGAAACTTTCAGAACTTATTCAAAAATGAATGAATTTATTTTTGAAATTTTTATTTTGAGAAAATCTTGGCAAAATTTTTTTTTTTTTTTTTTTTTTACATCTGTTACTACCTCCAAATTTAATTTTATGAAATTTTATAGAATTTCAAAAAGTTTGCAAACTTTTTTTTTTTTTTTCTTATAAGCGGACTCCTTGGAGAAATTAAATAATCAATTTTGTTTTTCACAACTAATGCCTTTTTTTAAAAAAAAAGTCTGTTCCAAATCGTAAAAATAAAAACTGCAATAAACTATC